ATCAAGAATGCTTTTAAATAGCTTTATTGAAATAAGGCATATATCATGGCCATATAAAATCTGAACTTAGATGGCTTTTTGTACATCTTAGAGGGAAGTAACCATCACCACAAACCTGTTTCAGAGCAGTTGCTGCTCACTCCAGGAAGAGAGAGGCTCTTTCCTCTGGCAGTCACAGTACGTATCCCACACTCTAGTCTCATCTCATACCCATCCCCCGTTTTTGTTTGTTTGTTTGTTTGTTTGTTTGTTTTTGAACAGATTTGCTTATTCTGGAAATGTCCTGGAACTGGAACCATGCAACATGTAAGTTACTGGGACTATCACTTTTCTAAGCAGAATGCTCTTGGTATTCATCCATGAGGCAGTGCTTGTTTTTTGGCCCATTGCAGAGTGTGCACACTACATTTTGATTGGCTTCTGGGACACACACTTGTGACTTTTGATGAGCGACACTGCTGTGAACATGTGCACATGGTTTATGACACCCGTGCTTACCTTCCTCTGAGGTATACATACCCAGAAGTAAAATGGCTGAACCATTTTACTATACTATGTTGTTTTACTATACAGTGGCCATACTATATGCTGTATCCAAGTAACTCTAAACTTTCTTCAAGTGACTACCTGATTCTATGTATCCATCTCTATCTATCTATCTGTCTATCTATCTATCTATCTATCTATCCATCCATCCATCCATCTATCTCTCCCCTCTTTACTATTATATTTTTTAAGACAGGGTTTTCCTATGGCTGGACTTTGCCTAATAGACAAGGCTCTATGGCCAGAAAGCTGCCAGGATCCACCTGTCTACATTCTAAGCACTAGAATTACAAATGTACAACACCACTCCTGGCCTTTGTACATGGGTTCTGGAGATCAAACCAGTTCTTAAACTATCACAGGAAAGCCCTTTGCCAACTGAGCCATATCCCAAACCATTGTTTTATATTTGCTTATTCTGGGTGAGGACTTTGGCTTTTTTATATCCTTGACAGTCCTGCTCAGAGTCTATTTTTTGTCAATCAGTTGTCCTCTATCTGTGTTTTTGGTTCCCATGTTTAATTACCTGCAGTCACCTGGCATCATGTCCTAATGGTTCTGCTGACATCCTCTGGCTCTCTCACAGTATCTGTCTTCTGTCCATCTCCTCATTCAGACATTGTAAATTATCTGATGACAGGGTAGGTGAGCATGCCACATTCCCAGACATTCAGCACAGCACATTTCTAGAGTGGGTCTAAAACTGTTAGATTTTTATCCTAGGTGTGTTTGTGATGGCTAATCTTGTTTGCTGGACTTAGTTCATTTCTTGAGAGGCTATTTATAGGCAGAAGGGATGATCCACCTTGAATGTGGATGGAACCATCTGACAGGCATTGGTCTTTGAGTAGATAAATAGGGGAAAGTGAGCTGAGCACCAGCATTCATGTCTCTGCTCCCCAGCTGCAGATACATGCCAGGAAGCCTATCACAGCCGCTGTGCCCGCCCTCCCTGTGTCGGGATGGATTGAAACCCTGAATGGTGAGGCAGAAATAAACCTTCCTTCCTTAAGTTGCCAGGCATTTTCTCACAGCAACCAGAAGAGCAACTGTGTTGCTGTGTAGAGGAAGGCGCGGCAGGACCTGGAATTTGAACGTACCTGAGGTTTCCTCCAGCCTGGAGTGTGTGGGTGAGGCTGCAGGGAAGGGTGATGCTGGAACACCAGTCCTTGGCTGTGATCCGGGCCCTCGGTGTAAGTGTATTTCTCAGGGCTTCTGCATTCATTCTGTGTTGTTTTTCTGCCCTTGGTTTTAGTCTTTTTTATACTGGTAAGGACAGGTGTGAAATCCACTAGATGAACACACTTTCTGGAGCTGTACAGTATTGCTATTGGTCTCTGGGTCTTATTTATCTTGCATGATTGGGATTCTGGCTGTTTGCTAGTAACTCCCATCCCCAAAACCTACCAAGCCAGAGCTCTCTCTGTATTTTTTCCCTTGACTGCTTTAGAAGCCCATCCATGTTGGGTCACAACATTGGTCTTCCCCCTGGATTGCTTGACTGACCATATCCCTGAAGGGTGGTGAAATACAGCCTAAAATGTTCTACTTGGGCATGGGGGCTGGATACAAATGATGTCCTGTCACCTTTTTCCTCTTAAAATCAGGATACTGAACCTCCCTTGAATGACACCTGCCCCTATCCCAAGAAGAAACATTCCTCATCAGAGGAACAGTCAACAACTGCATTTTTAGGTCTTGATCTTGGTCTTTTCCCCAAAGCTCTCATCTTCTGCCAGTTCCTATCAATAGGATATCAACAGCCCTTCCACACTCACTTGTTATTCCATAGCCTGCTTGGGTCTTGCTGGTTCTTTGAGTGTTGTGATTTCAGTGAGGCCCTACGTGAAGGGCTTGCATGCTCATCTCCTTGTGGGTCTGTCTTACCTAGCCTTAGAGGATGCAGGTCCAATTTTGCCTTACCTACCCCCTCAAGATTAATCCTTGTCACATTATAGGATTTCAGTTGGGGGGTCTCACTTTTCTTAGAATGTGGTGACCAGACAATTTCTAAGCTCTCAAATTTGAGATTACAATAGCCTCAAATTCCAGTAAGAGTTACTTTTTTCCCTGCAGTTCCTAGGCATTCTAAAATGTGTATGCTAGTGAATACCACAGTGAGTCAGAACAGACAGGTGCTTGTCTATGACAGAAGAAGCCACTGGGCACTGGGGCCTGTGCAGCTAGTTTCGGTGGAGACATGGGGGAAATAATAAACACTAGATTTTGAAAGCTTGTTACAAACTAAGAATGCAAATGGCTTTAACCATAATTTTTGTATTAGAACTGAGGGTGTAGCTCCATGGGTAGAGAGCTTGCCTGGCATGCAGAAAGCCCTGGGTTCCATGCCCAGAACCACATATGGCCAATGCAGTGGTACATGCCTGTGATCTCAGCACTCTGACAGTTACAGGCTGAAAGATCAGAAGTTCAAGGTCACAAAGTTTGTGGCCAGACTCAAAGATGTGAGACCATAATTATAAGTTTATATTATTTACAAATGTTTGATGAGACACAACATTAATTTTACCTGGTTGTGCTTTTGTTTTTAACACAATATGCCTACTAAGAAATTTATAGTTCTGTAGAATTCTATAGTTCTGTAGCATTCTATGTCTCTGTCCCAGCATTTTTGCTTTATGGAATGCAGTAACACTCACTGCCTGTGAATTTTCACAGGATCAAAACTAAACATGTCTCTTAAGAGTGATGGTCTCTGGTTAGCTGACTCCATACTACCCGGAAGTTCACGAGCAGATGAATCTCCAGTCTCCCAAGCTGCGGGGCCACACCATGGTTCCTGATGTCTGCAGTCGCCGGGTGAGCTCTGTGTCTGTGTAGGTGGGAGCAGTTTGAACTCAGTTACAGTAACTCCATTTGTCTCACTATGTATTGATGTCTCACTGATTTGTTTGGGTTAATAATTCTTAACCTGAAGGACAAGGTAATCCTGGGCACGAAGCACCTATAGAATTTTATGCAGTTTGTCTTGCACATTGGTATATGGCCCAATACTTTTCCTGGTAATACATCTGTGGTCCTCAGAGTAGCAGCACTTGGGAACTTGTTAAGGATGCCTGTGCTGAAGTGAGGGAGCTAACAGTGCATGAATAAGGCCTCCTGAGACTGGGCTTGTGCACCTCTAAATCAGAGACTGGGTGAAGACACAACAGGTAGAGCTGCTTGCTGCACCATCTTAGTCAGTGAGGGGTGTGGAGGGAGTGGAGAAGCCAGCTGAGGTGACAGGTATCATTTAGGATGTTGAACTTGTTGACAACTTTTGGATGGTCATGAAGTTTTTGAGTCTAGCATAGTACATGCATTAAAAACAAATGAACCTTGCAGTTAAGCCAACACTTAACTGATTGGAGACTGCTTTCTGTGACTCACCAGTCAAGCACATCTAGGTTCATCATTCAATCACTTGGAATTGACCCGTCTGTACTTTCCTGGTCTTGACTGTCAGATCAGGGTATTGGTGGCTAGACTTCCTGAAAGGCTTCCTTCTAATGTGTTAGAATGCAGCCACTTCCATGCAGGGTCCTGTTGCATGTTTGTAAGCACTGGGAGATAGGAGCTGCTTATCTGTCTCCAGGCACAGGGGCCTCACTGACTCAACTCTGGCCTGGGCTTGTTACAGTGAGACTGTCACTTTGTCTGCACTGTTATGGACTCATACCTGTTACTCATGGAGTTCTCAGCTGAAAACCTTTCTGAACACAACTGTTGGATTTAACATCTAGACTCGGGGTGGGTGTCTAGGGTATGAGGTGTTTGCTTGTTTGTTTTAAGTTCAGCACAGGTGAGCTTGTTGCTTAGTGACAAAGACAAAATGACCAGAATATTTTGTGATGACTGTTGGAAGTTTGAGATTCCTACAGTAAGTTCAAGCTGAAACCATCTCATCCCAACTATGATCCCACTACTGGACCGCAGGGATGAAATCACGCAGAAACTGCATGAAGATGGGTTGACATTGGCGTGAAGGCTGTAGACTAGCAAAATGGCAACATCTGCCACCCTAGTGAGGGCAGGATGGCCCTGGCTGCTCAGTGTTCCAGTCAAGAGCAGGCATGAGTATAGGATCTCACCCTCTGCTTTTTGAGAAATGGCCCATGGAATCCAATATAAATGTTGAAATGAAGAACTGCACTTAAATTTTCCTTTTTTCACATTTATGTGTATGAATGCATTGCCTGCAGAGTATGTGCACCATGTGTGTGCCTGGGGTCCACAGTGGTCTGAAGAAGACACTGGCTTCCCTGGAACTAGGTTGACAGATGCTTGTGAGGGCCATGCAGGATCAAACTCTGGCCATCTGTAAAAGCAGTCAGTGCTCTTAACCAACTCCCATGGCTTCATCTCCGATACTACGAGCATCTCACAGCTCTCAACCACGCTTCTGTGTCATGTCTGGCACCAGACACTGAACTAAAGCAGCTTATTGACAAGAGTTGTTGGTTTTTTTTTTTAAATACATTTATTAACCAATGTTAACACAGTAAATGAAATCTATATATTGCTAGTCAGAGCAGCTTACAAAATGCCAGAACGCATCATAGAACTGGACAGCCACAATGGGTACTTACAATGTGCAGAGTGGTAAACTCAACACCTGGATAGAGCTTTATGATTGCAGAAAATTTTAATGATTCCTAAAACAATCAATTGTAATTTTACCTAAAACTTTTACAAAACCAGGCCACAATCTCTTTTTTTAATTTTGTTTTTTTTTTTTTAACACACAGTTTTCACACTGTAGTAACTTGGAAATGTGCAGCCGTGCCGACAGAGACAAGAAGCCAAAGTAACAGGAACCTCACTTTCATGCAGCTATCAGGTAAATAGTACATACTCTGGAATGATTTTACACCAAAAATATTCCCACGATAACTTGCTCTCACAGGGGTGGATCGACGTCTGAAGACCTGAAAACAATCACAGACTGTCAAGTGTCCTTGTTCGGGCAGCGCAGCAGCAGTGCTGGTACACGGCAGCGAGGAGGGGGCGGTGCCAAGCTAGTGCGGTTACCTTATAACCTGGGGGAGCTCATGGGCTTATACAAAAGAGCACCCCCGAGTGGCAGTAGTTACATGTCTGCAATAGCACCGGCACCCACCGGGGAGGAGGTCTCACAGACGGCTCCTTACTTTCATCTTTAGAGTGACCCTGATGGACCGGAGAAAACTGTCTTAAAGGCTTTTCTCCCGACTCTTTCACTTCTGTTGTAATTGCTTTAATAAATATCAAAGGTCTAAATAAATATTTACAAATTATTTCTCTAACCTCAAAAAATAACTAAAGGATAAAGTAGGAATTTGGTTTGGTCTGTGATGGGTCTTGGAGGAGAAAAAAAAAACCAATTGGTGAGATAGTTTTAAAGAAATTTAATTTTCCTGGTTGTCTTTTATATATCTATGTATAAAAAATGTGATTCAACTATCGATCCATTCCTACCAGTAATGCTTCTTAACCAGACATCCCGCAGATACAGACTTTGTACACATCACGGTATCTTTAATACAAGGAAAGTAGCATGCAGCCTCACTGTGTACAGTGAGGGATTCCTTAGTAGCAATGACCCTCCCCTACAATACAACGGCTTCTGTGACACGCAAGTGCTCTCTCCCTCTGATTAGGAGACACAGGGTAGGTTAGGGTGGCACTAGGGAGGTGGGAGGGGACTCAGTTATAAACTTGTATGCCTCAGCTGTAATTCCATGTTCTGAGTACAGGTAGTTTTTGGCTTTTGATTTTTGTTTTTGCTGCTGATTTTGTTACAAGCACTCACGTCAGGATAAAGATGAAATGTGCAAACTTTAAAATTTAAATATTCATTTTTCTCTAAGATCCAGCTCAGTAAAAGATTACCCCAGTTTCCCTGCAATTTTAAACTACAAGATCAAAGCTAATAATTTGTTATAAAAGTTATATATTGAAAAGAAATAATGAAAACACAATTGGGAAATAGTTAAGAAAAAATATGCAGGGCTAGCCCTGCTGTGTCAACCCTGTTCCCTATATTCAATCACACGCCGCCAGCACAGCCCCAGGCAAGGCCTGCGGGCAGTGAGCAATCCGCACAAAACCAGCTCAGCAAGGTCACGGCCAGGTCACGGCCAGGTAGTCTGTTCTGAAGCATCTGCCGCTCTTACATTCAGCTCTGGTCTGTCTCTGTTAGACTCTCTCATATTCACCTGTTGTTTTTTTTAAGATCTGTTGTTTAAAGGTTAAAATTTCTGTAAAACCTAAAAATGTTTTAAAATTTGCTGAAAATGCAACAAATCTTCAATTAGATTTATTTAGAGTAATACCCTCCATTGATGTTACTTCAGCCCCCGAAAAATGCCGGAGGAGCATTAACAAAAGATTTAAACTACTGTGCAAAATTTCACCACGAAAAGTGTTTAAAGGCTGGTGCAAAATGGGAAGCAAATTCTAAACAATTTTGGCTTCTTGGGAACAACAACCGCTGCGTGTGAGGGTGGCGGCAGGCTCATCTCTTCCGGCGGCAGGTGCGCTTGTGCTCTGCGTGCCAGTGCTCCTGCTGGCACTTGATGGAGCAGTAGGACGTGTTCCAGCAGCAGTGGTACATGGCCTCCTCCTCACAGTTGTAGCACTGCAGGGCAGGGGGCACACGTGAGGCCAGCATCAACAGCTCAGGGCCCACTATGCTTCTAAGGCTTGCAAAGCTCTCTGTGGCTCAGGCTAGCCCACAAGGTATGTGCACTGGAGTATGTGATGTGGTCCCAGCACTCCATCAGCCTGGGTTATTGGGCTCATCCCCAGCTCCAGTGTCAGCTGGCCTGCCCTCCTGTAGCTCTTCCCTCACACTCCTGACCAGCTGAGTCTCTAAGGAGGGGCGTGTGCAGGTCTGTTCTCGCACATCACATCCCTCTACTGCACAGACGGATCGACACCCAGCGCTGGTGAGCTCCAGCCCTACCTTACGTGGACATTTCGTTTGATGTGTGGGTACTCAGCGTTAAATGCTGGGCTCCTATGTGTTAGGGAACCACACCGAGACCGAGAGATCTTTTCTTCACTAGTCCACCAGGGACAGCAGGGTCAAAGGTGGCTAGTGTTGCGGCCAGACAGTTAGACATGGGAGAAGAAATGAAGGGAAAGTTCACACTTGAGTTTTAAGCAGGCGGGGCTGGTGGGCTAATGGCTATACCACTGTAGACGCCTGCAGGGAGGATGAGCAGCAAAGCCAGAGTGACCAGGCTGTGTTTCTAACCCACAAGACTACAGGGGGTCCTTTACACTTGATGGTGGCCTAGAGTCCCAAGGAGGACCCAGAACATTCTCTTATACTGGGCTGGTAAAAATTCAACCTTCCAGTTTTCCTCTTGGTTGCAATATTTGTTTTAATTTTTTTTTTGTCAAAATTAATATTTTCAGTTTTGTGATTTTTGCCACATCAACAATGGCAGCTCCTGCCATTCTGCTGCAGGAAAGCAGAGTGAGGTTAGGATGCATGGGTTAGCCACTCAGGTTGGAATTTAAATCAGGGCTGCGTGGCTGCAGACTAACTTATTTCACTTCCTGGTGTCCCTGCCTTCATCCCTTTCCCTGTAGATGCTCTGGGGGACCCAGCTTTCCCAGCACGCTTCTTACTCTTCAGTTCTCCTGACACCTGGCATCTGTGTGCGTTCCTTCCTGTCCCCCTGTATGAATGAGTACTTACCCTGGTGGGAGACAACATTCTGAGCGGAAAGCTGGGCTTTGGATCCTGATTTAGGACAACCCCACCTCTCATGACATTCAGTGTCAGAAGCCTTCAAATGCCTGCCTAACCAAGTCAGAAGCTGCACCGTGCTCCTGTCTGCACGGGCTAAGGAGCAGACCTCCAGCATCCCCCTCCTATTTCCTTTTGATTTTCTGTGAATTGAAGAGTCATATCTTCAACGTATCTAGTGAGACCAGCAGTCCCTTCCACCAAGTGTCTGCACAAGCTTCTGTGTGTGTGTGCCCAGACATTCTTGTCACTCTTGCTAAGCCTTTATAACAATTTTTTCTTACCTCATACTTCATGAAAACCTTATATATATTTACACAATCTTAATAGAAGCAGGGTAAAAGGAAGAATTATCATAAAATGCTATATAGGATGTCATCTAAATTGAAACTAGATTAGGAGCTTAAGGGACAATTGTCCCCCAAGTAGTTCCCTCAGGACCCTGGGGCTGAGAGAGTAGCACAGGGCTGTGTGCAGGAACCTCTATCCCAAGGGGAAGAAAGGCTTAGAAACAGGACTTGCTGACATCCCCAGTCCTACTGAAGGGAGGGGACTTGCCGACCAAAGACATACACTTACTATAAGCAAGAAGAAGCAATTTCTGTAAACTACCATAACTGGAATGTCCAGCACAGGGACACCGCTGTTGGGATGCACCCATAGCTTTTCAGCTTAGTCACTACAGACATCTCTACAAAGTCAACCTAGACCCTTCACACACAGTGTCTGCACTGCTGGAGAAGCTGCAGGTGACTGCATCTGCACTGCCCTGCCTGTGAGGGGCCCCAGGATCCCTGAATGCTTTGTTGTCATGACTACCTTCTGAGGGACCCGTGGTGTGTGTGTGTGTGTGTGTGTGTGTGTGTGTGTGTACACTGCACCTCTCTCTGAGCTCATGTGCCCAGGAGCAGCGGGGACAGGGTACTCACCCACTGCTTCTTCTTGGTCTGAGAAATGAGCTGCTTGTGCTGCGCCGCGAGCTTCTTGATCTCCTCTACAAATTCCTCCTTACACTTCTCCTTCACCTGCTTACACTTTCTGTCCATCTCACCCTGCATGTTGGCTACAGCTTTATTTACAGCTTGTCTTTTTTCTTCTTCCATTTCAGAACGCAACTGAAATGAAGACAGTGACAGATAAGACACTCACGTAAACAAGGCCTCACTGCTGGGACTGGGCTCTGTTCCCACTATTTTGGTACACATAGAGATGAGAGTGAGAAAGTACCCTAACTGTAAACTATGAGGAACACTGGCTCGGCCGCTCCACTCTCCACCGCCCCCCAGCAATGCACAGCCCCACCTTTTCCAGCGCTTCACGGACCACTCTTTCTGTTTCTCGCTTGTGGTCCGACTTCATCCTGTCCTTAAAGTCATTAAAAATTTTGGTGTACTTGTCGTGGCACATGCTCTGACAGACGCCATCGCTAGTCGTCTGGGTGCTCCGATGCAGCATTCTTGGGGAAGAGGCACTTAACTTCTTGGTCTGGGTTGACACTGACACCCTCTCAATTGGCTGAGGCATTGTGGGAATTTCCTGGCTGGAACTTACTGCTTCCGTTTCTGGCTCTGGTTCCTAAAGTGTTTAGAAGCAAAACAGGATAATATAACTCACCCCAATTCAGTTAAGATAAAAAATTCAGTGTATGCACACACGCCTGTGTGTATACACACTGCTATTACCAAGCAGGTAATTAAGCTGGTCTCTTGTTATATTTTATCACAATTAAATAAACACTCCCTAGCCTCAACCAGTGAATGAAAAATTATAGAATAGCTTAAGAAAATTCTAAACAAAATTTTCATTTATAATTTCACTATTAATATGATGGATTTTACTTTTAAAATTTTTGGTTTGTAAACTATAAAATCATTATCAACTTATAGTCATTTCCTAGAGTCCCAAATCACACCTCACTGAGATTGACAACTTTAAAGCATGCTCCGTTCATACAGAAAGAGAAAGCTTGACCATGGTCTCCTTGTTTTAGAGTTGGCGTGACTGGTTTATCAGATAACTGCTGTTTTACACAATGCCATGAAAACACCAGGTTCGTTCTCGGGACCGCAGCAGCGCCCTGCTCGCTCCCCGGCCTCTGCTCCCCGGCTGCTTACTGGGGACGGAGACTGTGCACTCGTGTGCTGGTCGAGCAGCAGTCCACAACGACAGGAGTCGGGAGACTGGGCCTTAACTTGACGGATATTACTTGACTGTCTTGAGCGTACTTTGAGACTCTTTCCTCTTTCGATTGCCACCTGGACACTGTGAGGCGGGCAACTTACTTCCTTTTTGGGCTCCACACTCTGATTACGTCGTCCTTTCTTTGCTCTTGGCTCTTGAGTGACCTTCAGCTGTGGGCATTATAAGAGTAATATCTTATTATTTGGCATAGCAGGAAATACCTCTGTGTTGAAAATACTTGTAGTGGACCCGCAGGAGAGAAAGGAGTCCTTCCATCCACTCAGCAGCTACTTGCTTCCTTATTGCTGTGGATCGGTGGTGAAAGCCAGTGGACCTGCAGAGCCGAGCCGTGCACTTACTCTCCTCCCACTGGCTGGGTCAGCCTCCAGGTCGCTTCTACCCACTCACACCTTTGCACTGGTTTGGTTACTTGTGCAGAGAACTTTACAGATGTATGTAGGAAAGGGAAAGAAGATGTCAAAACCTGTTTATGACAGTGAGGAGGGTACATGGAGAATCCGAATCAGCAGGACCTTCTTACCGGCACCGGTGACTCACCTGCTCATTACTGGTGGAGGAGATACTGGATTCTGCCTCTTCCTCACCTCGGTCCTCATTCTTAGACTTCCAGAACCTTCCTTCACGGAGAAACCGCTGATGCAGTTCCAGCTCATCACAGGCCTTTTTCCAGCCCATGCTGCGCTTCACATGCAGCCGGTGCACATTGACCGTGATATCCTGGATGTTTTCAGAAGGGATCCAGGCCCTGTGGAAGGCGGTGGGAGGTATAGTTAGAAACCACCGTGATGCTGGGGAGGGCTAGGAGCAGGGTGTGGACTCTGCCTACTGTAAAGAGTATCCACAGCAACTTGACAAAGGCGGACACTCGGGGCTTGATCAACTCTTAGCCAGTAGACAGGAGGTGAAGAGCCAGTTCCCAGGACATACTGACTTACTCGCTGTCCCCTTTGTCAGCTCTGCTTGCCATTGTTCACAGAGACACTTTTTTAAAAAGTATTACCTATTGTCTTAGATAATATAAGCTTGCAGGACCCATCCTGCTATAAGCCAATCAGCATTATGAAACTATTTCAAAACTAATGGAATTTTTCAAAATGCACACACACACTGCCTGTTAACTGGAAGCAGGTGATGTGTGTTCCTGATACAAGGTGCCTCTGCCTTTATAACTGAGCTAAAGAGGTGACAGGAGGTGAAGGTGAGCTAGAATATGCAAGTCATGAGCTTCTGCTGTACAGGGGCATCCACCAAAGCACTTTGGTGACCAGCTTCAGGGAGGAGTCGGTGAGAAGGTGTGCCGAGTGGCCTGCTCATCTCCCAGGATGGAAGAGCCTTCCCTTACATCCTCAACCTAATTTAAAACATTTCCATGTAAAAGTCGCAGTTTAAATTAACACTGGGTACTCAGAGATATACAAAAAAAATAAAAAGAACAGACACCCAACAATTAAGGCTAGTATAGTGATAAAGATGTAGAAACTGATTTTGTGACTTACTAAAAAGGACCCCAAACTGTTAAATATCTTTCTTGCAGGCTCCCAGCCTATGCCATCTCTAGCAATTTATAGCAAAAAGGTCTGGCTGCCTTAAGGAAGCTGACTGCTACAAAGCAACTGCCATCTTACAGGGTCTAGAAATACCCACTACAACAGACCACATGTGTCAGGCAAGAACTGGCGTCTCCTGGAGGCTAAGTCAGGTTTGCAGTCTAGGGGGGAGGGAGTCCAAAATCATTTGCTTTACTTTTTCGGCCTCCTACGAGTAATACAATATACTATCAAAAACACACTCCCCAAAACTAGCAACTAGTACCTCCTCATGAGACATATTCTTTTGGTGTGAATTCACAATTACAATCTGTTTATTTTCGATACATCAAATACTCTTCATAAGATGGAATTTTTACTGTGTGTCCTAAGCAGTCATTCATGTTTTATTCTATTCAAATACTCTTCATAAGATGGAATTTTTACTCTGTGTCCTAAGTAGTCATTCATGTTTTATTCTATCCAGGTCAAGGATTCTGCACTACATGCTAGAATGTCAGGTCTATTGAGAGGCCTGACCATTCTTCCTGTTTTACACCATGACTCATCACTTTGCTTACTGCCTTCGAGCTAGGTGCTGAGCTTACATCTGATTCAAGCTTGCGTGAGGAGAGCCCGGCCACTGTGTCTGGATGACAGAAGTCAGTGCTGAGACTCGGACACACTGACAGACACTGACCCCACTGGCATGTGCACAGTGCCGCTCTGTGGGAACATGAAACCCACTTGATGAGTGAAGTTTGTAATGATAAAACTTACCTCTTCATCAAAGCTAAAATGTTCACTCTGTAGTATGACTGTGCACTGTGACATTAGTTTCTGTCTGCTAAGTGCAGCTCCACAAGTGACAAAACCAGACACTCGGAGTATTCACAGGGAACATAAGATAAATGATAAACTATGTGGGAAAACAGTCCTTTGTTTTGAAGCTTCTCATACACTACTGACCTCTGCCCCAAGACACTGAGCCCCAAGATGTTCAGAAGGCTGACTTTAGTGTGATGTTCAGAAGGCTGACTTTAGTGACTCCAGTTCTTAACCTTTTCTGGCTTTATCCCTGGACTTTCTAATGGGAATCCTCAAAAGTTAAATTCACTTTTCTAATTCAAACTAATTATAACAAGACTTACGAGAATACCGTTAACATCTTAATTTTTAATGTTCAATAGTGTTAGGGCCTTAATTTACAGTGAGAAATCTGTGTGTCATCCTGCAGGTTGGTAACTTTTATGAAATATTGTGAAGTAATTTTATGGTCAACTTCTTTGTTTAGAATACACACATTTTATGAATTCCACATATGTAAGATTTTAGGCTTTACAACTCATGCTTGGGAGTGGAGACGGTGTGTGCTGTCCCTTTCCTCCATACTCTCTGGGCTTGGCCACATCCTCAGACTGAGGCTATAATCGCGAATTGATTGTTTTTGCCTGTTAATAGGGTCACGGAGAAGACTCAAATACCTGAGCAAATTTTAAGTGTGAAGCAGCTGTGCTTGAGGACCCTCCCATGCCCTGCATGATGGGTTCAATTTCAGCACAAGTTTGCTCTGCACCTGAGGACCAAGCATCCCACTGAATTTTTCTGTTTACAATAATACTGAAAACTTACATAAATTATTGCTAGCTACAGACATGTGTGAATTTGAAGTAAACATGGCATTCCTACAGTCGCCCACATATTCGTAAGCTCAGCTCTGGCTACTGCGCGAGCTTGAGAATTACCTCTGGTGGTGATGGCCAAAGAAGCGAACATCAACTTGATTGTCTTCTTTCTGCATGACTTTGGCTGGCCAAAACCCAAAACCTTTCATTTTAGCCCAAACCAGCTCATGATTAGGTATCTGAAAATGATATGTTATTTCTTTTAATATTGGACTACTTAAGTAGAGAAACATGGATTAAGTAAGACATAATTAATTGGATAATATTTCCTTTTAACTATGAGACATATAGAAGTATTTTTTTGACACCAACAAAAGTATCCACAATTCATATGTTTAAGAGATAACAGAACTATAGGCTATTTTCCAGATGAGGCAGAAGCTGGGATACAGTCACCTCTAAATCCAAGAGCCCTGTGCATGGCAGCATTGAGCAGAGTGCACTGAGTGTGCATCCAGCACCACCTGCGTGAGTGTTAGGAAGGGGAGAATTTTAGCCCCCACAGAGACTGTTCTGATTGTGAGTCCACCTGATGTCAGTCTCTGGGGAGTCTGCCCTCAAATGCCTACAGACTGCCATTTCATAGGAAATGATGGCGGTATAGGTAGGGGCAAAGCTACAGGTCTCCTGTTGAAAATGAGAGGAAAAGCAAAGACTCGCTCTCCTGTTTATTAAGGGACCCAGGGCATGGTCTTACTAAGTGCTGCTTGAAATTCAGAGCTGAAAAACAATTGTTGCTTTGTCATGTTTCATCTATGTGTACTCATTAAGATCACATGGACTATATGATGTAAAGAAATATATTTTACAGGTATTATCATTCTTAAGTAAACAGGGAATAACTGGTCCAAACAGTTCTCTATAAATGAAAATCACAAAATTCCACATACGCAAGGGTAGCAGAACCAGTTGTCAGGCCGTGCGTTTGACAGATAGAAGCAGTTCTTGCAAAGCTGCAGCTCGTCCAGCTGAAAAGCAAAGCAATGATTTGAGCCGCGGCAGAAGAGCTGCAGCTGCATGTGGTGGCAGCGCTTTCTCAGGCCCTTCCTTAATCTAGTGCACTGCAACTTAACATCTTAGTATGAGAGAAGGCCTTGCCACTGGGGACACCTCCACCCACAAGCCAGGTGACAGAGCCCTTCCCTGGCTGCCCGCTGGCCTTGACTGGCAGCGTTTTCTTCAGAACTGTAGCGGTTACTTTTGTCTTTTGTTTCCTGTTGTCAACTCTTCTCCAGCAGATAGCTCTCCTGCCCTGGAGTCTATACCTACATCACCATTTCACTCCTTTTAACACGGAAGTGATCCAATAAGACTGTAATAACTAAAAAAGAAAAGCTGAATTTGAAATGAACTGAAGAAATCAAACTCCTTATTTGAGATTTTTACAAGAATAACCTTCAGATGTTTCACTTCCTGTATGCACAGGCTTTGTTCTCTGCTTAACTGGCTTTCCCACGTATCCCTCGTTCCTAGACATGGCTCTGACTGCAGAGGGCAGCTCATTCACATCTCATCACCTCACCAACGCATCAGCAACTAGTAGTGCTTCAGTTACTAAATTTGCCATAACATCTTTTGTAAGTTTTTCCAGAAATATTTTATTTAGCTACTTTTCATATATGCCAAACATGAAAATCAAATTACATTCAAAGGAAATGCCATAACTAAGATGTGGCAAGGACGGGCGGAAGCCTTAAGATTTGGATTATAGCAAAAGTTTAATTATTAAGTGTGAATGGTAAGTACCTCATGACACGTGTCTTTATATAACATCCTTGCAATGTCCGCTTGCTCACTGTCTGCTGTAATTGAAGATAAACAACCTATCATCAATACTCTAGAAGTTACCACCACCGAGTCAAGTCACTTTACTGTCATTTCAGTTTACCAAATGGCGACACTGTATTCTTAAAACACACATTTTATATGATGTTTAGGTGGCGCAGGCAACTTGCATTTAACACAACTACTAAAGAGTGATTTCTTGTCTTTGAGAATGAGATCTTAGTAGGAAAGTATCAATTTCTAAAGTGCCTGGAAAACCCTCTGAGCTAAGATAAAGCATGTGGGTAGGAAGACTGCATTTCACTGAGGATATAGCTCAGTGGTAGAGTGCTTAACTGATATGTACAAGTCCCTGGGCTAGACCCTAAGCACCAGAAAAAAATGGTCAAAAGAATGCTTGCCCCACTCAGGGCACTGGCCTCTGTAAGCCACACCAGAAAGCACCCATCAGTTTAAATCCCAACATCATTACTCATGTATGGATTACAAGGAACTGTGGCAGCTATTCTCAACGTGGAACTTAACATTGTCAAACTGTACACAAAGACAAAAAGGATGGAACCTCCATAGAAGATCACTGTGTTGTGGAGCAGCAGCTGCGCGTCAGCCTTGAACTCCTCGTAACTCCGGTACTTCCCCTCATTCACCTTCTGTGGGGGTAAAAGACACAGCACTTGAGAAGGGGACACAGCAGAATCTGTCCAGATGACATCAGGACTCCTGCTGCCTGCACCAGAAATGAAAGGGCCACAGGTGGCATCATGGTGAGTGTATCAACTTCCCACAGTGGCTTGCACAGCTGCCATGCCTCATCTGTAGCTGTGGTGGCAGCTGCTGCTGCTGAACTTTGCCAATAGGAAATGATCAGAAGATAGCAGGGCTACATATCCCTGCCATCTTCCTAAGAGCTGGATGAAGACTGAAAGGAGGAGCCATTAGCCTCCACAACAGTCACCAAACCTCTTAAGATGTGATTCTGAGCTGGACCAGGCATTGGCTTGCAGTAAAGTGTCAGGAGTTCCCCTATAGACCAAGGCGTTGCATGGCTTTCTCTACATTAGTGAGAAACAGAAAATGACTTCCTTAATACACTCTTTGTAGCTTGGCCTTTGGTAGCCAAAAAGAATTTGGAGAAGTAGTTTCCCTATGTAGAAAGGAGCCCAAACTTTTTCAAGTACTTTATATGGAGCTAAGCTACCTGGAATTAGCAAGAATTTTTGAATCCTAGTGATTTTGGCATAAAAATGGCTTGGAAAGCCAGGTCTTCTAAGGAATGCTCACATACCATGTTCCTCCCTTGTGCCTGACTCAAGAAGCTTTTTACCTGTATAGTACTAGTTCAATTGCCCTTTCTTCAAGGAAAAGTCCCACTTCTCCTAGGTCATTACCTACACAGCCTCCATAGAATTATAGGGGATATGGCGCTGGTCAGCTTTGATCCTTCCCTTCCCTTCCCTTCCCTTCCCTTCCCTTCCCTTCCCTTCCCTTCCCCTCCCCTC